AACTCCAAACTGAATGTCAGAATGGGAAAGAAAGGTGATTTAAGCAATTTTGAGCGTGGCATAGTTGTTGTTGCCAGACGGGCCGGTCTGAGTATTTCACAATCTGCTCAGTTACTGGGATTTTCACGCACAACCATTTCTAGGGTTTACAAAGAATGGTGTGAAAAGGGAAAAACATCCAGTGTGCGGCAGTCCTGTGGGCGAAAATGCCTTGTTGATGCTAGAGGTCAGAGGAGAATGGGCCGACTGATTCAAGCTGATAGAAGAGCAACTTTGACTGAAATAACCACTTGTTACAACCGAGGTATGCAGCAAAGCATTTGTGAAGCCACAACACGCACAACCTTGAGGCGGATGGGCTACAACAGCAGAAGACCCCACCGGGTACCACTCATCTCCACTACAAATAGGAAAAAGAGGCAACAATTTGCAAGAGCTCACCAAAATTGAACAGTTGAAGACTGGAAAAATGTTGCCTGGTCTGATGAGTCTCGATTTCTGTTGAGACATTCAGATGGTAGAGTCAGAATTTGGCGTAAACAGAATGAGAATATGGACCCATCATGCCTTGTTACCACTGTGCAGGCTGGTGGTGGTGGTGTAATGGTGTGGGGGATGTTTTCTTGGCACACTTTAGGCCCCTTAGTGCCAATTGGGCATCGTTTAAATGCCACGGCCTACCTGAGCATTGTTTCTGACCATGTCCATCCCTTTATGGCCACCATGTCCCCATCCTCTGATGGCTACTTCCAGCAGGATAATGCACCATGTCACAAAGCTCTAATCATTTCAAATTGGTTTCTTGAACAGGACAATGAGTTCACTGTACTAAAATGGCCCCCACAGTCACCAGATCTCAACCCAATAGAGCATCTTTGGGATGTGGTGGAACGGGAGCTTCGTGCCCTGGATGTGCATCCCCCAAATCTCCATCAACTGCAAGATGCTATCCTATCAATATGGGCCAACATTTCTAAAGAATGCTTTCAGCACCTTGTTGAATCAATGCCACATGGAATTAAGGCAGTTCTGAAGGCGAAAGGGGGTCAAACACAGTATTAGTATCGTGTTCCTAATAATCCTTTAGGTGAGTGTATATACACTGTATATGTGTGTGTGTATATGTGTGTGTGTGTGTGAGTAAAAACACAAATGTGATTTTTATCTAAAGTATTTTTGCTTATCAGCATATAGTTGAATTGGATCGTCGAAGGTCAGCATCAAAGACATGGTTTATTAAAGTGAGATTAAAGTAGCTATATTTAATTATTGCAGGTTTATATTGTAATATTCAGAGTTTGCATTTCACTGTTTGGTAACACTTTATTTTACGACCCGCAAACAACTGCGTAAGTAAACCGAAATTACGGTGTAGCCTACGTTTCTGTAATTATAGTGTACTTCCGTGTAGGTATAAGGGAACAATATGTTAAGTGTTGGGTAATAAAGGGGTAACAAGCAGATATACAACCTGCAAATAACTTCGTAAGTAAACCGAAATTACTGTGTATGTTTCTGTAATTATAGTGTACTTCCGTGTAGGTATAAGGGGAAAATATGTTAAGTTTTGGGTAATAAAGGGGTAACAAGCAGATATACAAGCAAATTATTTATAATGTAATTATTTTAAAACTAACAGGTACCTATTCTGTTAATATATTCCAGGCAAAAATTGTACGTCTGTTGTATATAAAAGTTATCACCACATTTATGGCAAAATATGTTCTTGTGCAATGTTAAAGGGTAATTGTGACATCTGTGGGTTGAAAATTAAACATTTTAATTGAACGGTTTTTTTTTTTTCTTGGTTTTTTTTCTTAATAAGAGTAGGCCCTACCTTTCTCTGTAATTACTGTGCGAATAGTGTTGTTTGTTACCCGTTTCAACTATGTTTTTTACAGGGTAAGTGTAACTCCAGCGGGCTGTAAATTAAAGTGGCGCTTGTTACCTCCTTGTTCTGTGTAGTTACAGGGTAAGTACAACATTAAACCAGTATGCTGAAACAGACAAACCTAGCTTCACCATTAGCATTATCAACAAATTTCTAAATTGTAAAAGTACAGTAGCACAATTAAACCAAAACCATTTATTAAAACAAGTTTAACAATAAACAATCACAATGTTGAAATTACATCAACACAAACTGTAAACAGAACAGAAATAATCTTGAAATCACACTGTACATATTTTGCCAATAGGTACCTGTTAGTTTAAACATAATTACATTATAAATAATTTGCTTGTATATCTGCTTGTTACCCCTTTATTACCCAAAACTTAACATATTGTTCCCTTATACCTACACGGAAGTACACTATAATTACAGAAACGTACACCGTAATTTCGGTTTACTTACGCAGTTGTTTGCGGGTCGTAAAATAAAGTGTTACCCACTGTTTTAATTAATTTTGAGAAATACTGAATGTTTTTGTGCAAGTGAGATAATGAAATGCTCACATTTAGCAATAGGCATGTTTACACATGTTTACACACAACGACTCCTGATTTCACTCAACAAATGTCAGTCAATACATGGAAAACAAAGTAAATTGCCTTACTTATTTGAAAAAGTAACTTAGATATTTTAAAATTAAAAGTAATGCATTACTGTAGTTACTTGAAAAAAGTAATTGATTATGTAACTCACGTTACGTGTAACGCATATGTTCAACATTTTGATAAGTTCACTTCCAGTTCTATTGTCCTGAAGTCAATGCATTTAAAAAAAAATGTTTTGTTATGTTTGTTTGTTAAATGACTGAAATTAGGTAGGCTATGTGATGAAGTTAAGCACAAGCTCAAGATATTTTCACGTTTTATTCTACAACATAAAATACATCAGTAAACCCCCTTCTGGTTTTTAGCTTGATTTGTCTCGAAAAGTGTGTTGCTAACACTTGTTCAAATGGGACTACGGAGGTTGTTTGGGAAATTACTCTCTCTCTCTCTCTCTCTCTCTCTCTCTCTCTCTCTCTCTATATATATATATATATATATATATATATATATATATATATATATATATTATGTACATTCGTACCTCTGTGTTCCCCTCCATTTAGTTTTATGACTGTAATCTGTAATCTGAGTTTCTGTGTCCTATCAGCACCAATGACATAATTCATCTCAAAGAGGCCTAACAGCAAATCACAGCATGTCAATAAATCTCTCTGTCAGAGCTCAGCCAATAGGAGGCAAGCATTAAATCACACATGTCGTTGGTGGCCAATGGCATGGCAAAGGCAATATATCTGTCAGAAAGCAGAGCCTCTTAATGACTGCTGCATTTCTGCTGGGATCTGGAGGAAACATTCATGAAGAAGGGAAACGACAGGCTCAAAAGAAAGAGAACATCCACTGCATGTGTGTGTGATCCAGCCTGTGGCGAATAACAACAAGACAGCAGTCAAAACCTATGGTCAAAACAACAGAAGTGCTTCCACTTATATTAATTGTTAACTACTATGTAATAACATTTAAATGAATCATTTGAGACAATGCACTTATTGTGCACATACATGTTTATAGATTGTATACTTAAAAAATACCTGCATGTAATTACAGCTGTAATTATTTTCTGTAATTACATCTAATTATACGTTTGACGCTTTGCTTCCCTCATACACCCTAACCAACACAATACCACCATACCACACCTCAACAGCAGCACAAGTGTTTTGCAATACATCAACACAATAAGCACTTTTTTTATGTAAGTACATATAGGGCTATTGAAGAAACATAATATAAAGTGTGACGGTGAACACAGAAGCAAAGACAAAACATAAGAATTTAGCCAAACAAAAGGAATGAGGCAGCAACTGGATCAAATGTAACATTCACAATTTTGGGGTCAGTAAGATTTGTTAATGTTTTTGAAAGAAGTCTCCAAGACTGTATTTATTTGATCAAAAATACAGTAAAAAAAAAAACTAATATTTTGCAATATTATTACTATTTAAAATAGCTGCTTTCTATGTGAAATAAAATGTAATTTATTCCTGTGATCAAAGTTGATTTTTCAGCAACTCCAGTCTTCAGTGTCACATGATCCTTCAGAAATATGATGCTCAAGAAACATTATTATTATTTTGCTGCTTAATGTTTTTGAGGAAACTGTGAAGTGTGTATTGTCATTCTACATCCTATCTTCATTGCTTGCTGAATAAAAGCATTCATTTCTTTTAACAAGAAAAAGCCTACTGGCCCCGCAAACGTTTGAATGTTAATATCACTCAGTTAAAAGCAAAGATTGATGAAAGCAGGGCAGTTACAATAAAGTAAAGTTATATATTGTTACTGGCTTTGAACTTCAAAATCTTAAGTCAAAATTGAACTAAATATTTATTAATGTATTCTGTATTGTGCACAATGCAAATTATTGTGAAATATTACAAAGAAAGAAAAGGTTTGTCTTGGTCATCTTGCACTCTGCCTATGAAATTACTTTAATGCTTGCTTTTGAATCGCCTGATTAAAGAAACTGGCATTTGTGTAACCCTCACGCCTTAAATATAAAATAACCCCCAAAAAGTTCTCTGAGGACACATATAGCCTACTGTATATCCATGTTTCTTTTTTGTTTTGTTTTTCGTTGTTGTTTTTTTGCATTCCAACATTAACATAACTGGCTAACATAAGTGAAACTATAAGACTTCACAGACTGATATATAACAATCGGTAGGCTATTACATAGATTGGGGGTTAAACAAAGTCAGGCCTACTGGTTATACAAATCAATTAACTTATTGGTTCTCATAGGCACATTTTTAAGGCATCAGCATATAGGGCTGCTCTTTTTAAAGATATTAAACTGGGTGCAGTTCTCAAAAATGTACATTTGTAAATAAAATATTTTACAAAATATAGACAATTCAAAATGTGCACACACCCTATTCGCCATTTTCTCACATGAAAGAAGAAAGCGGCCGTGGGTGGTCCCGCCCTTGCACATGACGTAACGACGCACAGTGACCTCACGACGTAACGGCGCACAGTGACCGGGTACGCGCACGCACATTTTCTGCGAGACTGCGCGAGGTCTGCTGTCAGTCACCGGGAGACCGCCATGTCCAAAGAGGTAAAAAAAAGCCAAAATATTATGCTTGTATCTTATATATTACATTATAACTGCAAAGTTTCCTGTAGTTGTTAAAAAGCAAAATGCCGAAGAGAAAATTAATTCATTTAGAAAGATGATAGTGTGATTAAACGCCCGTTTCTTCGCGGCTTCGTCTCATTTCTTTGTTCGCAGCAGCGGCTCGCAACGATGCACGAGCCGAAACGCATTTCGTTTATTTCGAATTATTCCAACCAGTCATTCTGCATTCGTTTGGGCTTTATTAATACCCATGTTTTTGTTCGTGTGCATCTATTTTACCGTCGGCGTTTTGAAAATACATGTTATTTGTTTTGCCGCTGTAGGCCGCGCGATGCGCTCGTGCACAACAGATCGAAAATATCTACACAACATCGGCCGCGCGCACCAGCAGTGGCAATTTCGATGTGAATGAATAAACAAGCTGGTTCAATTTGCTTCTTTTCTTTAAAGAAACTTGTTTTACAGTGTTCATTGGGATTGTGTAATTGCAAAACGCATAGATGCCTGATTAAATATATATGCTGCTTCTGTTTGATTAGGTAAATAAACGTAGAGCTGTTTGTATTGTTGTCATTTAATATATTTCCTTTAATGGTTTTGTTTCTCTCAGCAACAGACCCCCCGTGAGCCTGAGCAGCTCCGAAAACTCTTTATCGGGGGTCTCAGTTTCGAGACGACAGACGAGAGTCTAAGGGCCCATTTCGAGCAATGGGGAGCTCTTACAGACTGTGTGGTGAGTCCATCTGCAATGCATTCACATGCTAATGACCGAAAGCATGCACTGAAACCAGCTGCGTAACCCTTCTCTACTCGCAGGTGATGAGGGACCCCAACACAAAGAGGTCGAGGGGTTTCGGGTTTGTGACCTATAGTTCAGTGGGTGAGGTGGATGCAGCGATGGACGCTCGTCCGCACAAAGTCGACGGAAGAGCTGTTGAACCCAAGAGGGCGGTTTCTAGAGAAGTAGGTTGCTTATTCTGACAAATCTTACTCACACAACCAGTATTCCAGCTTATATAAAATAAAATTAAACCACATTCTGGTATTTACCACTAGAAATCTCTCTCTTTCAAATTCAAAATTGCTTCATTGGCATGACTGTACATAATAATAATTGCCAAAGCTTGGAATACATAGAATAATTATAAAGACATCAGAATAATAAAATATTATAACATAACTTAAATTTAAATGTACAAATTAACAGTGTAACAAATTAGAATGTGTAAACATTCTCTGTCTCTCTCTCTCACATACATACATACATACACACACACACACACACACACACATATATATATATATATATATATATATATATATATATATATATATATATATATATATATACATATACATATACAGTAGTAGCCAGAAGGGGATATTAGTTTGGATAAAACCATCCAATATGAGGAGAATAATTTAGGTTCTTTAAATATTTTAAATATGAGCGACAAACAAAAACTAAACTTGGTTAAAGTTTTTATCTGATAATTATTTGGCAAAAAATGTTTTGTTCGACTACAAAAAAACATAGAAATACAAAGTTCACAGGAAAAGCATACATCGACTACAACATAATCAGCTATTAATATTTAATTGGTTCTCTCTTACTTTTGCATGTGTTTATAATTTCTTTGTATGACAGGCAGGCTTTTTTTTTAGATATATATTTGAAGATTTTTTTTTCGTGTGAAATAAAAAATTTCTCAGTTTTTATAAAATCGAATTAAAAAACACTACCACTAACAATTTTTAAAATGCCTCTTTTTTATTTATTATTTATTTCTTTTGTATATTAATAACAATATGTTTTTATCTTACATTTGTATTTGAATAATTGATGTCAGGACTGTAATTTCCCTGATTACAGGACTCGTCCAGACCAGGCGCTCACTCCACAGTTAAAAAGATTTTTGTGGGCGGAATCAAAGAAGACACGGATGAGGAGCACCTGCGCGAGTATTTCTGCCAGTTCGGTAAAATTGAAGAAGTGAACATCATGACAGAGAAGAACAGTGATAAGAGGAGGGGGTTCGCCTTCATAACGTTTGATGACCATGACTCCGTTGACAGGATTGTCAGTAAGTGATTGCTATTTATTTGTGTGTCAGCAGTTTTATATACAGTAGTCTCTCTCTATTAGAAGAGAATCAAAACCATTCATCAAAGTTATACATACATTTTGAACAATACCCGTTCTTGTCTTAGGTCCGTTCTTGATCCACTTCAAATGTTGACTACTGTATATAAATATATTTCTTTTGAAACAGTCTCAAATCTATTTTTACTTTGATCCACAGTTCAGAAGTACCATACAGTGAATGGACACAACTGTGAAGTCAGGAAAGCTCTCTCCAGAGAGGAGATGAACCGAGTCTCAATGACTCCACGAGGTGAGAATTGCACACTGGAAATGGTATGCCATAAAATGTACCTCAGAGTCAATAATTTTAGCTGTCGCGTAGTCCTGTGATGTTTTGTTCTGACTATTAAAATCTTTCATAAAACCCATCTTAGGTGGGCGAGGGGGTGGTGGCGGCGGAAACTTTGGCAGAGGAGGTGGTGGTGGATTTGGAGGAGGTACCGTTTTGCATATGTTCTTATTTTTATTTTATCGTTGTAGTGCTCTATAGCAGAGATTCTTTAATTTCCCCTAGTATTACTTTAGTAAACATGAAATTTAACTTACTCACACATATTCTTAAAATACAATTGCATACATCATCAAATATGAATAATTAGATTAGTCCTAGTGATGTAGCAGTGAAGGAAATTGCAATATTGCCTCTTTTTTTTGTGTGCTATACAAATAAGTATTACGATGTGGTCAGAAGACACGAAGACGGAGAGTCGAAAAAACAAAACAGGCTTTATTAATATTCTGAACACGAAGCACAATAATGCAAACCATATGCATAAACAAGAACTGACCAAAAACAGCTGAATTCCGGTCTATATAAACAGGCGTAGAGAACATAATCAGAAACCAATGAAAGCTAAACTGAACAGAGCGGGGGAACAGAATGCCAAAATAAGGGTCCGCATAGCAGAACAGAATCCTGACCGTTAGTCATTTTCAGCCGCTTTAGTTCCTTTTCCCACCACACTTGATTGCTCTGGTCTGAATCCGTTGGTGAAACGAACCAAAATGCAGTTACGTGACAAAATCCACATCACTCGTTGGCCAGATGTGTCTTTGAACGTGTTTCCTAAACTGCTCTTCGATTGGTCAGAATTAACGTGCGGGAAAATTTCGGAAGTAATCAAAGAGGAAAAACACATCTGCGCAGTTTAATTGTATCCCTGGTCGTCATATACTAGATAGTTTGTAAGTAGGGCTGCAACGATTCCTCGATTAAAGTCGAGTGCTCCTCCTTGATTACAATTTACCCATGTCGAGTAACCGGCAAAATACCGGAAATGGCGCGTTCGACGGACGAGAATCCATTTCTGAATATCCCTCCGCTCGCTCATTCAGCTCAGGGTCGCGCGCTCAACACAGGGCCTGCTGGTTTGAGAATATGGTACATGGACTGGATTTATATAGAGCTTTTACAGACCCAATGGCCACCAAAGCACTTTACATTTGCCTCACATTCACCCACTCACTCATTCATACACCGACGGGCGACGGCAGCCATGCAAGGCGCCATCCAGCTCGTCGGGAGCAGCTGGGGTTAGGTGTCTTGCTCATGGACACCTCGACACTTGGTCAGGTGGAACCGGGGATTGAACCACCAACCTTCTGGTTTGTAGACAACCTACATGAACCACTGAGCCACTGCCGCCCCAGTGGAATATGTGAAATAAAAACTGCCTCCGACTTTTTATTCTAGTCGACTAGTAGTTGTTCATTTAAGCCATTAGTGGACAAATCGCCCCTTTAAATTAATTTAACTACTTAAATAGGCTATACGGGATATTGAGCGTTAAAGCCGCACTCAAGCGCACGACCGCACTAGGGCTGGGCAAAAAAATAGATTTTTCGATTAATCGTTTTTTAGGCCCTGTTTACACGAAAACGATTCCGGGTGAAAAAGTAATAATATTTTATCGGATGTGCCTTTCGTTTACACGGCGACGGCGTTTTTGGGGCTTAAAAACGCAAAAAAGTGAAACCACCCTCCAAAGTGGAAATCTTAAAAACGCTCCACCGTCGCGTTTCCGTCTAAACGGGTAAAAACGCAAATCTGCTCATGGCGGCTCTCGTCGCGTACGCATTTACGTCACAGGCATGCGCCAGTACAGGAAAATAACAACCAACATGTCGGATTATTTCCATACGTCGGACCTTCAAGTTGCCCTAGCAGCTCTGATAAACGTCCAAGAGTCTTTTCAATTTCGCGCTACTAGGGAGAGAAGTAGAAGGAAGGTTGTACGCAGGCGCACGGACTTGTTGTTGTTGTGTGGCAGTGCTTCACATTGCCACCTAGCCGCCTGGAGTGCATACTACATCGCATTTCTAACACTTTTGCGTCTCCATATGCACGCAGATTTCCCCCCCATAACGCTCGTCTAAACGCAGAATAAAAAGTGAAAACGAAACGCCACTTTTGCGTTTTCTCTTCAGATTGTTTCCGTGTAAACATGGCCTTAAAATGTGCTCGATTCAAAATCGATTCTCAACGGCCACGAATCGATTTTTTCCATATTCAGGGCTCTGAACTCTTACGGAACTCTTAAGGAAAAGTAAAATAAATATAATATGTCATTGTGAAGCTTCAATGATTCGTGTTTGAATTGTTTTGACGCAGTTACAAATTTGGACAGTCCTGCAATTGAAGGCCCACAGAATTTACAGTAGGGCTGCACGATATTGGTAAAAAAATGACATTGCGATATTTGATTTTTCTGCGATATATATTGCGATATAAAAACAATTTCACCAGACGACTTGAATAGCTCTACTTGGAAAGAATGAATCATTCTAGAATGACTCTTGAGTTCAGTGTTGGACAGATCAGTTGTTATTTTAACCATTCATTAAAGTGAATCGGTTCAAAGGAGTCAGTTCGCGAATCGGACGTGTCATTAACGGACCACGGCACACGTTGTGTGATTATCCAGGCAGTTTAGGACATCGCACAAGATTTGTCTCAACACAGAAAACATTTCATCACCAGATAGATTTTTTGTTTTGTTTATTGAAAGAGTGGTTTATGCCATCTGAATGTGTGGAAAGCTTTTCAGAGAAGATGAGGCAACGTTATTTTAGCACAATTCACAACCAGTGGTAGTTCAGAAAAAAAAAAACTTCGGTCTTCCGACCTTTTACCATCGTGTATTCTCAAAGATATTCAGTCAACTCAATTCATTATTATGAGCGAGGGAGGGAGAGAGAGCGCGCGCGCGACTGGGGCTTTCACTCTCTCTGCTCGTTCTCTCAGTTAAACAAGCGCGAATCCGCGAAGCCAACTTGATGTGTTGAATGCTCAGAGCGCGTTATAAAACGTATTCTTAAAATACACATTTCTGTTTTAATAAATGCTCATAGTAAATCATAGCATATTGCCTAAAACATTAGGTAGGTACAAAAATAATCAAACGGTGATACATTTGCGACCCATTAAAAATTAGGGTCGCAATGGCATTTCAAAAGGTCGCATATGCGACCATTTTGGTCGCAGTATAGTTCCCTGAATATATACACACCTTTTCAGGGGGTGCTTAAACTTTATATCCATAAGACGACTGGATGAGCTGTCATGAAGTGTGTGCTCTCACTTTCATTTCTGCCGTGATCAGTAACGTTAGGCCTATCGCTGCGGAGACTGTAACGTTAAGCTGTATCACGAACTGTTGGTACAGATCCATCCTCGAGTAACAATGTTCATTCTTATCCAACAACAAAACACCTCAATCGCTTGGAAGGCATTCTTGTCTACAACTGCTCCGGTGTCGAAACAGTGTTGGACTGTGTTTGGCTCACTCAGGGCGGGTCTATGCTAATACGGCAGTGCAAAAGTACGTCACATTGCCCCAAATCTGAGAACGGCTTGTTCTGAGACACTGCTTATGATTTATGGGGATTTAACAAAAAAAGCACTGGGTGGATTTTTATCATTACAGGGTGGTTGCATACACACACTGCCAACACATATTTATGTTCAAACACCATGCAAAAGTGAATTTTGCATAATAGGTGCCCTTTAAGTCATTTTAAAGGCTGTTGTTCACTTGGATCTATTTTTATGACCAGAGTTTTTTATCCGATTAATCGTTAGAATACTCGATTTATAAAATGATCGATAGCTGCAGCCCTATTGGTATGCTCCACTATAGGCAAATTATACATTTGAAGAGAATGAAGCACGGATGCAGCTGGAAAATAATGTTTTGATGCACTGCAAACGGCGAAGGCGCATCGCAAGTCACTACAGGAGGAGACATACTTTAATTTTGCTGAACTGTGACATGCTCATCTTCTGAAAATATTATATTATCAGGGGTTATGGTATGCCCTCTCTTTAAAATGCACAGCGGGAGTTGGGTCTGTTTGAGGTCGGATCACATTCTCACCACAAACAAACCGCTCCAGTGTTCGTTTGAAAGCGTATCGAGACCGGCTCTTCAAGGACGTCTCGGTACGCACCCGGCCAAACGAACCACACCAAGGGGGTCAACGAACTCTAGTGCGATTCAACTAAGGCCCTGTTTACACGAGAACGCTCGCGGGTGAAAACGTAAAAATATTTGATCAGATGTACCTTTCGTTTACACGGCGACGGCGTTTTTGGGGCTTAAAAGCGCAAAAAAGTGAAACAACCCTCCAGAGTGGAAATCTTAAAAACGCTCCACCGCCGCGTTCCCGTCTAAAGGGTAAAAACGCAAAAGTCTGCTAGACAGTCTGCTTCACATTGCCACCTAGCCGCCTGGAGTGCATACTACATCGAATTTCACACACTTTTGCGTCACCACATGCACGCAGATTTCCCACCCATAACGCTCGCCTAAACGCAGAATAAAGTGATAACGCAACGCCACTTTTGCGTTTTCTCTTCAGATCGTTTCCGTGTAAACATAGCCTAAATGAGGCAGGTGTGAAAACACCCTAAGACCGCTGATATTTTACCAGTATCAGCACTGCTTGCCTCACTCACTGTCCGTTTAGGCTCGTTTAGTGCAAATCTACAAGGTAGAAAGAAGCCAGCTGGAGGAAAAACTTACATTCTTCACTTGATATCGTTATTAACTCAATACTGATGCATGAAGTGTAAAACAAGGGCAGAGCTTTATAAAAAAGAAAAGAAAAATCATGAACATCAGGGTTGCTTGCATTCTTCTGCACTTGGTTCGTCAGTATCACGGTATTACAATATTGTGGTTATCGTGTCATCCCCAATTAGTCCTTCATTTCACGTTTTTTAAATGCATATTTCAGGGAATAATTGGAAAAATGTTATTTGGGTTGTAAGGACAACTCCGATGGTGCTCTGCTCTGAGTTTTTTAATTTTGAGATGTTTTTTATTTGTAGGTGGATATGGAGGAGGCGGAGGAGGAGGTGGTGGTGGAGGAGGAAGAGGAGGAGGAGGTTACGGTGGAAATGATGGTGGATATAACGGCTACGGAGGGAATGGTAAATCAATAGGCTTAAAAAAAATTTGATTTTTATTACACTTGACTGTTAAACAGTGTTTCCATAATAATGTTTGATTTATCCACCATCTATCAGGCGGCTATGGTGGAGGCGGGCCGAATTACGGTGGTGGAAACCGTGGTTATGGAGGAGGAGGTGGTGGAGGAGGCGGTTATGGAAACCAAGGTGGAGGATACGGTGGCGGCGGCGGATATGATAACTACAACAATGGTGGTGGAGGAGGCAACTTTGGAGGAGGTCAGTTATCTTGTCAGCACTTCATCATGTTCCCATTTTTGTTTTCTTTGTTTTAACCCTCTGGTGCTCCTCGGAATTTTTTTTTAAATTCATCGGAATGGTACAAAACTTGGTAAAGGCACTTGCTGTGTGAACATGAAAATAATAGTCACACTTGTGGTCTCAAATTAATTTCATCTAGTGAAAACTTTTGGTACTGCGGCCAAACAGAATCTTACTGAAAGCTAATTTTTTTAGCTCAAATTTGGACCGTAAGTTGTTTAGATTTATGGCTTTGATTTTATTGCAGTTTTAGAGTAAAACGTGATTTTTGAAAATATATATTTCATATAAAAATGTAAAATAGTATTTCTGTGCATTTTTCATAACATTAAACACAAAATTCTGTATTTTATTTCACTTTTTTGAACTTTTTTTCACTTCAGCAATAATCTGCCACGTGTCATCTTTAAAAAGAGATCAAACTTGAGTCTTTGCTCTAAAGCATTCAAGATTTACAACAATTTAAGTTGGAAATTAAATTTTCAGGTCTATGCTCAAAACCTGGATAAATGGATTATAAATACAGCGTAAATATAAGTATCATAAAATCCCCTAAAAATTATTTAAAAAATATTATCAAACTAAAATATAGTGCATTCATTTAATTTAAATAAATAAAAAATGTTCTGGTCACTTTGACCGACACTTGAAGAGCACCAGTAAGTCATAAAATGTTAATACTAAGTACGTAGTGTCAAAATAGTTCTATATATGGGACCCTGCTTCTTCTGTAACAAATAAGATTTCAAAATATCACTGAATTTTCACAGGCAACTTTGGAGGTGGCGGTGGTGGTGGCAGTGACTATAATGACTTTGGCAACTACAACAACCAATCTTCCTCTAACTACGGGCCGATGAAGGGGGGAAACTACGGAGGTGGTGGTGGAAGGAGCGGTGGTGGCGGCGGCGGCGGCGGTCCATATGGTGGTGAGTGAATATTGCAGTGTTGTGCATGGTGTTATTAGCCTGGAAATCCAGACCCAAATCTGACAGATTAAGGGTCTGGCATTGAGTAATGAAAATCGCCCAACTCGAGGGGCGGCACCAAGCATGCATTTGAAAATCTCACTGCACGCAATTGGATAACACTACGACCAATCACAACAATTAAAAAAAAATGCCCCGTTAGCTTAGCTAACGTTAACAACGGAGCTAACTGGTAGATTACACTCTTGCCTATCCGGTCGGCAAAACAACAAAAATGTCGATTAGAAAAACGATTAGAGCGCCATCTTCTGTTCCTCTTTTAGCCCTCTGGGGTCCTTCGGCCCAAATGGACCCGAAGCATTTAAATATATATATATTTTTTAAATCATTGCTTTATCGGAATGGTCCGAAATTTGGTGACTTTGTTGGTACTTGGCATATGAACACCCCAAAAAATTGGGGACAGGATTTGAATAGTCTAAGTGGTTGTAAAAAAAATAGTCACACTCAGGACCTTCGGGTCCAAATGGACCCGCATAGGAAATGAATGGGAAATTGCCAAAAATGTGAAAATACAGAGTTATTTTGTGCGTACAAACTACAAATCAGCCACGATCCAGAAAAAAAGCACACAACAGTGAAGGGGTGAATCTATAAAACATCAAGAGTACAAAACAGACACATCCACACACACAAACACACTTTTATACACATACACACTAATAAATTCAGATTACATATGGGTTTTGAATTTTTAAAATGCTCAGTTTGTCCACCAGATGGCATCCATCTCATTTCAAAAATTGCTTTCATGAGGCCTAGGCTTGACTCTAAAATGAAATACAGCTTTAAAAAAAATAAAAAATATTTTTTTTAAATTTCTATTATATTCAATAGGGAAAAAATGGGTCATAATTATTGCATTAATATTAATTATAAATCATTTTTATTTTTGAAATTATCTCAAAACACCAAAAAAGAAAAGAAAAAATATTATAAAACAACAAGTAAAAAAAAAAAAGATGATTTTTTTTTAATAAATATTAATCCCACCCTTCCGGCCCATTTGGACCCGAAGGTCCTGAGTGTGACTCTGAAATGAAGGACCCCAGAGGGTTAAATGAAAAGCCAAGTCTAACTCGTTCATTGTAGCGGTCAAAGCCATTTCAAACAAGTGGTGTTCATCCATAGCCATCTTGCAATGTTTACTAATGACTTTGACATCGCAGCGCTGTAGTCATCTCGCCTCTGGCCCGCCTATATCAGATAACCCGATGTGATTGGTGCAGCTCGGATACAAGGGCATAGTTAATGAGCATCATTACTCAATGCCAGAGTAACTCGCTGAGCAAATTCAATTTGTACTCTCGCGAGAACTCTGGAATTCCAGGATATGGTATTATAACATTATATTTCAATTCAAACTGTTGCACTAACTCCGTGTCTTAACCAGATGCGATAAAATTCCAGCGACAAGCAATTTGTCAGTCTACTCCAGACGTGACGCATCTACAGGACATGACAAAATCAGTCATAAATCACAGCCAATCAGAAGAGCGTGTGGGCGGAGCTCTTTCTGAAAACGCACTGCACTCGCACATAAACAAATACATAAATGTTTCAAGATTTTCGCATTATTAAAAATACATACTGATTGACTGAAACCATGTTTGTCATAGAATACACTTTTTGTTTATTATTTAAACATTCTTGTTTCCTTTCATTTATTTTCAATATCTTGGTTGAATTATCCATTGTAGCTTTGAGTATGGCTATAAAGGTCACACAAAATGATAGTCATTTAATGTTTAAAGAATTTAATCAATACCTTAGATTATCATTGTCATACTTTGTATGTTGTTGTTCCAGCAGGGACGTCACAGAAATACAAACCATTTCTAAAAGAGAATCTCCTGTCGCTCCTTGCATATTGTCATTACAGCTAGTCTGATTAAAGCCGAAAAGACACCTTTTATCACGTGTAGCATATGGTTAGGACACGGTGTAAAGGCCCGTTCAAACCAAGAACGATAACTATAATGATAACTAAATTAGCGCCCACACTAGCGGACGATATCGTTGTTTTTTCTAAGCGCCTGCTGGTCGGTCGCTTTAAATGTTCGAGCTCTTTACAGCAGGATGGATTCTGATTGGCTGTCAATTTTTTTCTTGTTCATTAGCAGGATAAAATCGTTCTGAAAGTGATTCCAATGATATTGTTCCTCTGTGCCGTTATCATTATAGCTGTGGTGTGAACTGTGCAATTCTTAAAAATTGAGACCGATTTTTAGAGCTATATCGTTATCTTTATAGCAATCGTCCTTGGTGTGAACTGGACTTAAAGGTTGTATCAGCGATTTCAGGCCCAAAAAAGGCCAAAACATAAATGATCACATTCATCTAATCTTTCCTAACGATCCGCTTGCTGCCCACCCCATAAGCAGGCCGTCAAAAAAACCCGCGTCTTTGTAGCCAGACATGGGTTGGTCACGGACATGGGTTCGTTGATAGACGCTGGCTTCTTCTTCAGCTCCGACTTCGCCTGCAGCTGTGCACAAGCGCAAAACTTCACAACACCCGCCCCCTGTCGGTGATTGGTTGGAACACTATTTATTTTGGTTTTGAGTGGTTGGTGAAACCAATTGTTTTTGTGTGCAGATCTCAGAGCCTAGGCTGCCTACAGAGACGCGTTTTTTTGGCGGCGGGCAGCTAGCGGATCGTTAGGAAAGATTACCGTATTTTCCGCACTATAAGGCGCACTTAAAAGCCTTTAATTTTCTCAAAAAACGACAGTGCGCCTTATAATCCGGAGCGCCTTATATATGGATCAATTGGTTAATAACGCTCCGCGTTATTAAATTCGCCCGCAAACTCGCGCTCGTGTCCATCTTATGCCCGCTCAGTCACACGGTCAGTTCAACCTCGTATAAATCAGGTTATGCGTGTAATGGTGTGTTCACACCGAACTCGAATTTAATTATTTGCGCGAGTAGATTACATACAAAGTCAATGCAAAGACGCGATAGACGCATCATTCGCGCCGGGCGTTGTGAATGACGCGAATTGGGCGACGCGTTTGCCGCGAATGTCTTCCACGCAAGTTGAAAAATTTTAACTCGAGCGAATGTTCAAGCGTCTTAACTAGACGCGTATTTGACGCTCTATTCGCGTTCGGTGTGAACACACCATTACTAACAGACACTCTGTCCCCGGCGCTGCTCACGCGTCACAGAATGTTCATAAAGCGCTCCCCGTTCACAGTAACCGGGTCGTCTCATTCAAAACAGCCAGCTGTTGCTGTCAGCGAGCCGCCGCACATTAATACTCATGAGTCAGGCTGCGAATGTAAGTTACGTGCCCGCCCCAGCGCGCTCAATAAACGCCTCGCCTCCGACACCGCGCACTCGCTACATTCCCTTTAGCACATCTAGTGGATGCATAACGCAAACCCAGTCAAACGTTTGACTGCAGTATCTTATGCGCCTTATAATCCGGTGCGCCCTATATATGAAAAATGTTCTAAAATGGGTCATTCATTGAAGGGGCGCCTTATAGTGTGGAAAATACGGTAGATGAATGTGATCATTTATGTTTGGCCCTTTTTTGGGCCTGAAATCGCTGATACAACCTTTTGGAAGTTGGGATGTTTTATCAAAAGCAGCAATTATGGCACTATTATGACTGAAATTTTGTCTTAGCTCGATCATGCTTCTTTTTATAGGTGGTTATGGAGGAGGCTCCAGTGGTGGTTATGGAGGCAGCTCTGGCGGGCGAAGGTTTTAAATACCAGGGTAAGAATCGGCCCGCTTATGCAAAAGGGGCTCTCCGAAGTTTGCCATCAGTTTGTTTTAGCTCATCCATGTCCAAACATCTCATAAGATGCGTAACCTATGCAAATGTTAGCCCCTAATCACTCTTCAATTGGTCGGTAAATGAGTAAAACCATTGAGTTTTCAGTGCAGGGGATCCAGCAGCAAACCTTCAAATCTTGTTAAGCTAAGATCCAGTATCACAAGACGAATGTTGATTTTGAGTTGCTCTCCAAACCTTCTGGCTGCAGCACATGCAAACTCATCCTCATTGTCCTAACAATGCAGTCTTAGCTGACCTGAAGGTTTGCTTCTGTGCTACTACTACTCATTCCCCTCCAGTTCAGCTCTTGATAAAGACAAAGCAAGGTTGCAAAGTGTAACTGAATTTATGTTCCGTATTGTCCAACAGGCCACAGTACTTAGAGGAGAGCCAGAGAGAGATGACAGGGAAAGGAGAGAAGCAAGCAGGTTTACACCTAGATCTGCCCAGCCAAGCAGCGTGGTGGCGATATTAACGTCTGCCACGCGAAGAGAACGTGTTCAGTAGGGGAGGAAAATCATGTGGGAATGGGGTTGGGGGTCTTGAAAGTGTTAAAAAAAAAAAAAAAGAAGAAAAAAGGAACGTTTCAAAAGTACTCTTGTCCTTGAAGACACTTACTAGTTTGTAGTTTTCCCTCCCTTTTTTTTTTTTTTTTTTTTTTTTTTTTTGTTGTTGTCTATGAAGTGCAAAGCATTCCAATGAGGATTTATGCAGGGTTTAATTGTGTTGGCTTTTCTCTTGAACCAGTAAGGTGTCTGTCTTTTGCTTTTCTTTCTTTTTTTTTTCTTCTTTTTTTTAAAATGTAAACAGTCACCAATCAAGATTAAATAAACCGCTCCAGTTTTTTTATTTAATTGCATTCGTCAGTGTTTTGATTTGGTAAATGATGTTCTTCAGCACTCGCCCAGTTGCATGATTGTGTCACACGTAACCCACAGCGTACTCTGATGCCGTTGGGTATCTCAGTGTTTTGTAGCTTTACCCTAAAGTCACGTTGAAACCTTGGTTGCTGACTAATTAATATAATGCTGGATCGTTTTAACTTCCATGTGAAATAGCAGTAATCAGATTGCGTACATTCACAAATCAGCTTGCTCATTTACTTTTATAATTGGGCCTAGCACACGTTCTAGTGTTTTTGTATTGTGCAACATATGGGTAGCACGTAGTTCATCCTTTGGACAAACTATGTTTCTTTGTACGTATTCCTGTGGTGAATGAAATCCGTAAGAGGATTTTTAGCAACTCCGAATTGCCACCCGAAAGCAATCTCGCACGTAAACGGTCAGAAGTGCCAGCAAAGGAGGAAGGAGCCAGCTTAAAGTCTAGCCAAAGAGAAGAGACTGTTGAGAAGCGCTTCATCGAAGAGAGGCTAGCCGTTGGGATGAGCCAGCTGAGAGGCTAGCTTATTGGGATCGCCAGCAAGTCTTATTGAGAACAGATGATTGCTGTTGTAAGACTAGCGAGAAACAGCTACCAAAGTAAGGTGTTTAACATGCCAGACTGGTAGGTAAGAGGAGAATTTTAGTTTTCTTTCATGTGAATTATTTGTGCTCATCAAAATGAGGTAACAGTGTAAAGATTTTGTTGCTTGGTTGTTTTCGTGGTTGTGGTGAAAACATGACTGCCGAACTATCACAGTGACCACATTTTCAACTGTGTCTTAAGTAAGGTTCGGTATCTAAATTTTATGTTCTAAAAGTAGTCTTTTGTGTCAGTGGTGCATGAGACACTTATGACTTCAGTCTTTCTGTGCTTGGCTACATGTCTGTTTGTTTGTCTCCTTGTTTGGGTTTTAAGTCGATTCCTTCTTTTTCCAGGGATATAAACTGGTGGATTTTATACCTGTGACACAGTTGCAGCAAATGCAAACGACCGGTGATCTTGAAGGTGAGTTAATTTCATTCGATTTATCATCGTTTGGTTCGTTACCTAAAGTTGTTTTTCAAATGATTCTTTTCTTTATCTCTAGGTTAGTTCAAGTGTGTCGCAAACAGCAACTGCACAAACATTTTAACATTCATTCCTATTATGAAACTGCTGTTTTACCCACGTTTGCCGAGTCAGACGGACAGAATATTTGAAACGGTAAGCTATCTTTTGACTCTGTGCCGCAAGATTTTATCTTAAACAAATTAATGAATACATTTTGTGTGGGAATTTCCCTTTGTTACAGTATGTCACCGGTTTTATATGCATATGAACGTTTAATGCCGGGCAATTACAAGTAAATAATTAAGTTTAAGTATTGCATTTGTGTTTTTGGTACTTTTGACAAGTTTTTCTCTTCTTTTCCTCGTCAGGTTATCAAATCATGGAACCAAACAATCGCTGCAGGACAGCATTAGAAAAATGTTTTTTTTTTTTATTGTTACTTTAAATTGTACAATTTTTTAATGTCTTTTAATAAAAGTTAACATTACGGCGTGGAATTTGTTTAATTTAGTTTCAGTATATGTTTGCATGTCAACTGAGATTAAAAGCATAACATAGGCAGTTGCACTTTATTTTACATTACATGCACTTTCAATGTACTTATAGTGTACTTAACCACAAGAGTACTGAGTTGTCCCAGAAATGTGAACAATGTTATGCATTTTGAATAAAGAAAAATTAACTGTTTCAAATCAAACAGAATCTTGAAAGAAATTCAAAACGAGACCAATATAATAGCATTTCCTGCATTTGAATTCAACGCTCAACTTCATTAGTTAAACCACTGGCACGACTTACTCTGAAGCATTAAAACCTCTGCCATGTTCGGGAAGCTTTCATGGCTCACAGTTTTAGTTTTATGCATGTAGACCTGAATATTAAGCAACCAATTTTACTTGCCATGTTATTAAAAAATGTACTATGACATGTAGTTACCTTTATATTACTTGTTCATTTCTTTGGTAAGTGCATATACTGTAAAATAAAGCACAACCCATTTATCAATTATAGACAAATGTCAGATATCAAATGTTCAGATTTGTTAATGCATCACAGAATTTGGCAGAAGCTTTATGAATTCAGATAGAAATAGAATAATGTATGTTAGGCTACACATGGTATAAGCTTCTCTGTATCAGGAGAGGTGGAAGTAGAGAAGAATATGCTCCGGGTCATTTACGCAAGAATGCCATCATGGTGGTCTGGCAAGAGGCCTCGGGTTTGGACAAAGCCTTTTCTATTTCTTCTGCCCTGTTGGGTGAGAAATTAGTCCAAATCTAGATGGGGCAAAACAGCCGCCTGGACAGACTCATTCTCAGCAGGACGAATGAATGCGGTTTTTCATTCCTCTAGGATTTTCCCTATGGTTTGTGTTTCTGTCTAGCTCTCCTCATGCTCTTACATGAGGCTGAAACTAAACCTGATTGCTCACCTGGGAATTACAGACCTGACCACATTAAACAACAATGCAACTGAATAACAGACAAGCTTTATTCAACTCAGCACTTTCTCTAAAATGTTTGTTTTAGGCAATTGTAGAGAAGCTTAGTTATGTTAGATTGGGTCTTCATTATTTAATTTCGACCATGGTTATTTTGCATGTATATCGAGAATTAAAATCCAATTAGATATTTCCATAGCTAGAAGCAAAGTTAGGTAGATGGTAGATTCAGTCTATGGTTCTTAGCAATTCCCTAAAGTGTGAGGGCCAGTGTGGTCGCACCAGTTGCACCACTCTAAGAACTGCCCTGCATACAGTCATACATCATTTCATAATGTGGAAATTTGTATTTTGCTTTAAATTATGGTGCGTCCATTCATGCCGGAAAGACAGTATTTACATAGTAGAACTTGTAATTACAACGTATAAACTCGTAATTTTCTGAGCTACAACTTGTACCACCTGACCATTGCAGATTTAAGGTGTGTTCGAAGCGGTGTATGACGTCAAAGTACCGCGAGAGCGATTGGAAATGTGCTTCAATTACAGTAATTTAGACATGGCGTGAACGCAGCAGAACGCCACCACAAAGTCGTAAATACGAGTGGGAAACTCAAGAAGAGCCACGAGTTGGGGGCGTGTCAGTGTGAAACATGGTGGAATACTATAATAGGCTATTTAGCAGTGACATTGTCGGGCTTTTATATTTACAACAAAATAAGTTAGTTGTAAAAAAAATGTGTGTAGGCTACCTAACGATAAAGTTTAGTGGCTTCTTAAATGAATAACAAAAAGCAAAACACTAGTGATGCACATTCATTGTTCTTCATTTTCTAGAAGTAAGTTTAAAAACATTTCTGTATTTAAGTGTAGCCCATTTAATTATGTGAAGAAGGTACACCGCCATCTTGCTCACGAAAGTGATGCAATAGGCCTAGACAGAACATGACATCCCATCTCGTAAACGATCCTCCCAGGAGGACTTGAACACGGTGCCATTAAGGTGATGATGATACACAGCCAGGGCAACTTTTTGAGCAAAGTTGCTGGGCAATCTTGCCGAGCGATTGTTGCTTGGACACTTTCCCATTGAAAATGGGCTATACATTTCTATCTGAATAATCGGTCGTGGGCCCTGTGTCTCATCTGGTTGCCCGTTGACGCCAACATTTCCCAGCAACATTGCTAAAAAAATTGCCCTGTGTATCATCACCTTTAGACTATTAGACTATGTCTAATGCAATACAAATATTCCCATCGAATCATTTACAGTCATAAAAATACTGTATAGGCTATAGATGCCCTGCAAATGAATGCGTTTCTAATTTAGCCTAAATATATCCGATAATTATTAGAAAATAATCTAGAATTTTAAATAAAAAAGGCAGGGCTGCGACCATATAAAATGACCAGGAATATTGTATGGGGGAATGTGGCAGGACAATGAGGGAAACATCTTCAAGAGGAGAATTCATGTCAGGTAAAGACTGAGATTAAATGTGATTTAAAATCCCCAGACAGGGAGATGAATTGGCATAGATATGCGTTGTGTTTCATGTGATTGCTACAATAACACATATAGGCTACAGTAAATAACAGGTAGGCTAAAGATATTATTTTAAATGAATAATTTAATGTAATTGTATTACACAATTTAGTGACTGAGTGTAGCTGTGGTTTGACAGCAAAACTTCACAACAGTGGATTGTTAAACATCTCCATTGTGGATTGTTCTTAATATTTTCAATGGCAGTCTACCTGCACTTGCTTTCGAAAATTAAAGAAGCAACAATGATCTACATTTTGTTAACGCTTCTGAAAATAGCCAACATAATAGCAATTTTTTTGGAGGCAAACCAGGGCAAAACACTGAAAAATCACACATCGTTATCTCCACGCGGTGGCGCCAGAGAGTTTTTAAAAAGCTTATGGAGAAGTGTGTGCAAATGGTAAGGTCTTCACAAGGCATTATGTGTTTGCTTACTGGTCCGAGTAAAAAGCCCTATGCGCTAACATCTTTTGGTCCTTGTAGGCCTACATTTGGGATTTTTGTACAATCAAATGCCATATATAAGCCATTGTTTGCACATTCTTTCAGACTGCAGTTCATTTGTCCTCTGTTTTCTGAGGACTACAGAAACACACTAACGATTTCATTTAACATCACCATGCATTGCCTCTTTGAGATGTGTTGTCATTGCCTCATAGTGCACTCTGTAGATATAAATAATGATTTACAGGCCCCACACTTCATGTAAGAGATACTGGCCAAAATGAACCTCCTGGCGCTGTGGAAGATTATTTATGAGCCGTTCAGTCGTCTGGTATGTGCTGAACTGAATTTGGTAGATTAAATTACTAACTTTCTAATTAGTCCTCTATTCATCTCTGATTTGATGATGCTTTTGTGAATGTTTGTGGGTATATGTGACATGGCAAGTGCACAGTAAGTATGCATATTATTGTAAAGTCCACTGT